AAAAAATATAAAAACCAAGAAGAAAAAAACTGAGAAAAATTAAGCAACAATTAATAAAAATTAAGAAAAGAAAAACCCAAAAAATATTAATTTAAAAAAAACAACAAAATATTTCACACATCATTGCATTTGCATAGCTTCAAATGTGCGCTAAAGTCATAAATGTTTATTAACATCCTATTTATTCATTAAATCAGAGAATGTTACTAACATATTTTGGTTAAGAGCACTGTTAAACGGTTTTTATAGCACTGTATTTTAGCTTCCACTGTCATTAAGGCTTGTGTCTCTGCTAAGTGCGTCCATTGTGTCTCCGCTAAGCGAAGTTGAAAACAGGGTGACACGTGTGATTTAAAATGTATTCTGCAGCCACCTACTGAGCCGTTCTGGGTGCCTGGTGTAATGCGCCGCATTGAAATTTGGAATTTTTTGCGATTTCCACAGTGCGACCAGAGAAATTTCGCTGTGGCGGTACAGTACGTATGCTGCATATAGGAAACAGCGAGTTTTGGTTGTTTTGGAGAAAATTAATGAAATTGAGCATAATAAAAATAAAAATAACAACAATATGTGTTTTAATGACATGTTGATTTATAAAATGTAAGTATATGGAAATGAATGGAAATTGTAATTGGAAAAAATTTGAACAAATTTTTAATCAATTGTTTGTTAATTGCTATTGGGATAAGATGATTTGTCTGAAAGCTCAGGAGAAAATTTTTATTTGCTTCAATTTAAATCTGCTGAATTCATAGGGAATTTATGAGCATTTTTGTGCAGAATAAACCATGTCAGTGGTTTGATTATTTCTAGATCTCGCTTCTGCTTCTGCCTTCGATAGAATGCTGCATTGATTATGGAACTGTTTGTGAAAAAGATCATACAACAAACGAGCGCATACACAATTACACATCCAATACAAAAAACAGGAAATTTTCTTTTTATATTATTTTTTTAATTTTTAAATTTTTATTATTTTTTAATTTTATTAAATTTGCGTAACTTTCATTTACATTTTTGTTTGACATTATGCTCGTACAAAGCCTTTTTTAAAATATT